AGGTCGCTCTCAGTACCAAGAGGGAATTATTGATTCAAGCACAAACCTCTTTTTCTGTGAGAAAATAGCGAGCGGCAATTTCAGGCAGGATGAAAAGACTAACAAGCCACCCCCAAGCAAGAAGGCGGAAGGACAGATCGTGCCAGAGGGCTACAAATGAGAAAACGAGGACTGTCGTAAACTTCAGGTTCTTCGTTCCACCTAACGGTATATAAATATATCTGAAGGCAAATCTAAATCACATCCTACCGTTCACGTAGACGGAGGTAGTACCGACCTGACGATCCAGAGGTTGTAACTGCGATGCCAACTTCTCCAAAAGCCCAGGACCGAATAGTTATTAGCCATACAGCGGACCATGTTTTCCGGAGGATCGATCCCATCAAGTATGGCCCAAAGCCGGAAAAATCGCCACGGGATCAGCAGCTAAAGACATGATTAGTTCTAAGTGTGGTTACTGTGGCCCGCGAAGTGAGGTACCTTTAGCCAGACGATGATTAGGTTCCAGAATCCTATCATGCTGAGCTCTGCAACACTGTCCCCGTACCAGGCAGTAGTGTCCTTGATCGCCACTACGTACATGAAATGAAGAATGAACTCCATCGTGAGGAGACAGACAACGAAGCGTGCTGCGTATCCTATAATTCCACGAGCTGAGATAGGCAACGGCTTTCTCAGCTGCACATTACCGGTGAGCTGCAAGTTAAGCCAATAGAAGTGCAACTGACCTGCCAAACAAAATCGTTGAATGTCATGATTGGGCCACCTATGTATAGTGGCGGATACAAGACATAGGCGAGGTAGTAACTGAAGGAGTAGAATTCAAGGGCATGTGCCATGGTAGTACGCTGTTTATGTGTCGATAATTCTCCTGCCTTGGAAGGGTGGTCAAGCTTCGCAAGTGCATAACTCGGGTCGACCTACGTCTTGCACTGAAGATGCACGAGAACAAGCCCAGTAGTAGTCCATATTGAAAGACACCAGCCTCAGCATGGTAATGTTGAAAACAATGTACCACCGTGGATATATTCCTTGCCAAGCGTCCTTATTCGCAGACAGTAAAAGTTAATCCATATACATATACGGGAAATGCAGGTGCGGAGTAACATACCAATGATTCTAGAGTAGCGTGTAGTGATCCAAACCGATACCCAGAGCACAGCCCACTGGTGAACAACACAGCTCCGTTCAATGACCATGTAAGTAAAGGATTGAGCTTGGAGCCTCCAAAACACTTTGCTACGCCATAGTTCGTCGCCAGTATGCAGAGTAACTTGAGCGCACTCGTTCCGTGTAAGGCGAGAAGAAAGATGGCGGAGAATCCCAGTAGGAAAGGAACCAGATACAGACGGCTTCCACCCATATCTGCGTCCCTTAGACTGCGTAACCGAACGTATAATGTTTTGAAAGAGAGAGAAATGACGATCAAAGCGGCCAAGATTGGAATATTGCCTCGGAAAGAGTGGTATTGAGCGTCGCTATCGTCCTGCAACAAGTAGTCAGTGTCGCTCACACAGTTGTACAAACTCGGGGTAATGGAGACGCTTCCATCAAGCTTAGAATCAGCTTACGGATCCAAAACATGATAAAAGAGCATCTCCTGCACCGAAGCAGGCTGCCCGAAAGCGAGAATGACTGACGACATGGCGCCCAAAGAGCCATCCACGGGACAGTTTGTAGGCATATATGGTGTAATTGGGGTGAGATGCTGTAGGATATATGAGCTTGTTGCTGGGCTAGATGTCCCAAAAAGCACGTACGGTTACTAAGCTTCACTGGAAGCCACACCATCATGGGAACGACCAGCGCGAACACGATCCCGTAGAACAGGAATTCGGGTGTTTTCCATCTTGGTGGAGGGTGAGGCGCGCCCGTCCGCGGCTGCCCTGTCTGAGAAGACGGTATATCGACGGTTAGACGCGTTATTCCTTTCCATCGACCATAGTTCGGCGGGTCCACTTCAAGCGAGTGCGCTAGATGAGTTGTCGGTCGCAGATCGGTAGGCATTTGGAGTGCAATAGCCCCGAGCATCTATAAGTGCGTAATCCACAGGAGAATAAATTTTCAGGAGAGCATGGGTTGCCGGGCTTCTGTAGTAACGAGATTGAGATGCAGAGGTGGTGGTCACTGGTCAATATCCGAGCGCCGCTCTGCACGGCCTCACCATGAGCTACAGGCGTCTACCATCCTTGTCCTCATACCCTTGCGACCTCTT